TGCGTAGATCTACGCGCATACAGGTTCCTGGCTGCATGCACAAGGCAACTGCCGTGGAATCCAGCCCGCGCCGCGTGCGATAGCGCTGCGAAGGTTGGATGAACAGAGCGGTATAACTATAAGTACGGGTAGGTCTACGCGGACGCGGACCGAGTAGATCTACATGAGCGACTGTAGCGTGTTTCCGGTCTGCACCCAAGAAAGCCAACCAAGGAGATCCTATCCACAATCAATGCTCTGACTGACTCGACTGATTGTGACTGTGATTGAGTGTGACTCTAGTCTCTACTGAGTCTGTAGTGTGACTGTGACTCTAGTCTCTAGTGTGACTGTGAGTCGAGAATGGTTCATGTATTGTTACAATACATGAACCATTCTCGACTACAGACTGTGCACTTCTTGTACAATGAGTAGACCCAGGTGCTCGAAGTCCGTACACTTTTACAGTGTGTGTTTGTCGAGCTGAAACTCACACTAGCAATGATCACTTGCCAGAATCCTGCTCGTGGATGGAAGGTATCTTGTCCAAGTTTGTTCTGAGGCCAGGCTCGATTGAACCAGGCCATCTTTCGATCCGATCTGTTTCTCTGGAGTTCGCTGATTTTTCATTTCAATTTTGTGTCGCGGAGGGTACTCTAAGTCCGTACTGATCAGAGGTGACTCGAAATACACACATATTTCTGCTAATTGCTAACTTGCAATCCCTCGGTTACGACGAAAGCACCGAAGGGATATGTTTGGCATGTGCCTCCACCAGTATATCTTGGAAAAGCGTAGTTTGTTGCCGAACTGCAAGCTGTTTTTAGTCGGCTCAGAGAAGAAGCAGCTGCGCTGTGAAAACCGCGGGAAAACAGTGGTGGAGATGCCAGGAGTGTCAACCTTTCTGCAAGGATTGGTGGTTCTCTGTAAATTCTTCTCCTCTGGCCATTGTCAGCTCTAAGCTGGCTCTTGATGATTGAGTGAGGGTCTGTTTGACTCTGTGTCCGTTCGAAATCGGTCTTGGCAAAGTTGATTTTTGCATGAAATGTAACCCAATTTGTATTTCGTATGGGCACTCGAAAACCCACTCGCGTGGTATGGGACTTCTGCTTATCGTAGATCCCTGAAAATTGCTACGCGAGGAGAACATACCACACTGTCCCCTCGATAAAATATTTGAGTCGAATAACAGAACATGAAATTATGGGCGTACGAACTTAGGATACCATGTACGGACTTCGAGCACCTGGGTCTACTACCGCCGGTACGCGGTATGTAGAGTGACGTACTGTAGTCTACTGAAGTACTTCTTTTTTTTTTACGTTTCTTCGCGAGGAATAATTATTATTATTTATTTATTTTTTTTTTTTTACTAAGTACACAACCTACTCGTCAGAAGGGGAGAAGACAACAGAGTATACAATGACAAAACAGCAGGGAGAGTAGGGGCTGCAAAGCAAGCCTGTGCTGGTGAGGCAAGCCCACAACACCGACCTATGGTCTCGGCGTTAACGTGAGCTTGCGCACCATAGCCTAAAAGAGGGGGGTGATTTAGTGCGATAAAGACAAGAGAAGGTGAGGTAGAATGGATGAGGAGAAAGAAAGAGAGAGAGAGAGAGAGAGGGGGGGGTGGAGAAAGAGAGAGAGAGAGAGAGAGAGAGAGAGAGAGAGAGAGAGAGAGAGAGAGAGAGAGAGAGAGAGAGAGAGAGAGAGAGAGAGAGAGAGAGAGAGAGAGAGAGAGAGAGAGAGAGAGAGAGAGAGAGAGAGAGAGAGAGAGAGAGAGAGACTCGGAGTGAGTGAGAGAGAGAGAGGGGGGGGGGGGGTGGAGAGAGAACAGGAAGAGAGAAAAATAGATTCAAAGGCAGTTCAGATGCAGTGAACATCATGCAGTGCTTGGGGGGGGGGGGGAGCTTCAGGATGGAAATAGTTCTGAACTGTTAGAGGGAGTCTGTGGCCCAAAGCCACTGGCTTCGGCGAAGATGGTAGTGGACGTTCGCTTTGAAGGATTGTAGGCCCTTAGGAGATGGTGGTTTGGTGAAGAGGGAGGATGGCAGCGCATTCCAGGTGTTGATGATGTTGTATGGAAAGGCGCGTCTTAGGTAGTTAGGAGCGCCTGGAGGGAGAACATTTTCCAGTTGGAAGGGGTGTGAAGCAGACTGTTGGCATTGTCTCCGGGTTACAGGTGCGGCATGGTGGACGACGAGAGGGGGGACCATGGATCTCAGCAGAGGAGGACCTGGTTGGCCCAGCAGCTTGTAGACGAAAGTCAGTGCCGCCACTGTCCGTCGGGCCTCTAGGCTCTGTAGCAAGATGTTGGGTCCCAGGATGTGGAGGGCACGCCTCTGCACTCTGTTAAGGTGTTCAAGGTTAGTGGGAGCAGCTCCCATCCAGACAAGGGGAGCGTACTCGAGCAGGGGCCGGACGAAGCCGTGATACACGGCCAGCATGCCACGGCAGTCCAGAACACGAGCAGCTCTACGTAGGAGGCCAAGACGTGAGTTTGCCCTGGCAGCAACTGACCGGAGATGGGCGGAAAAGGATAGCTTGGAGTCAACCATAACTCCGAGGAGCTTGAGGTGTGGCTGTTGTGGGATGACCTCCCCTCCAAAGTTTATTGCGGGGACAGGCCAAGGCTGCTGTCGATGGCAGGAGATTCGTAGGAGCTGCGACTTGGATGGTTCAAACTTAACATGCCACTTTGTTCCCCATGCATGTAACGCATTAACGGAAGCTTGAAGACTGTCAGCTTGGTGTATGGCATCATCGCGTGTATTGACGCAGGCATACAGCGTGGTGTCGTCTGCAAATGTTCCCATTTCAGACCCTGGAGCCAGACAGCTATCAGCATCATTTACATATACTAGGAACAAGGACGGTCCAAGGATGCTGCCTTGTGGTACTCCTGCAGAGATCGGATAGCGATCGGAGCTCTTGCCGCCGATGACCACTTCCAGCGAACGACCTGTTAAGTAATCTCTAAGCCAGTCCAGGAGGGGGCCCTTCACACCGATGTTCCGCAACTTGTGCAGTACACCTGTGTGGGAGACTTTGTCGAAAGCCCCGGCGATGTCGACAGCAAGCACCTCCACAGATCCACCAAGGCCAGATGTGGCCGACCACTTGTGGTGTAGTCCCGTAAGTAGATCGGATGGACCTAGGCCTCGGCGAAAGCCAAATTGCCTTGGTGATAGGAGGTTTTGTCCCTCCAGAAAGTTCATTAACTGGCGGTTGATGATGGACTCCATTACTTTGGAACATATAGAAAGCAGCGAGACTGGTCGGTAATTCTTTTCAGCGGATTTATTACTTTATTAGTCTTACATCAGATCATGTAGGTACTACCGGTATGTTTTTCGATTTTGACAGCATGTTACAAGGCGAGGACGCGCAGTGCTCCCGACTACGCGTAGATCTACTATTAGTATTACTTAGTCTATTAGTATTAGTATTACAGTATTAGTACTACTATTACTTAGTCTATTACAGTATTAGTACTACAGTCCATTTCTAAACTATAGACGCGTACCTAGGCAAAAACCGTTATGCCAGCATCTATACCACATAAAATCTGTGATCACTTTGTGCATAAATTTTTCCAAATTGGGCGTCTGTTATCCAATCCTTTAGAAACTATTATGAGAGTAATTGTGGAGCGATCCTGAGCAATATTCCGAAAACTATTCTAAAAAAGTTCCAGCCAAATTTGAAATATTTCAAAAACCCTACGCGTCTATAGTTTTGAAATGCACTGTAGTATTACTACTACAGTCCTGTACTAGTACTAGGTGCTCGGTACCTGGGCCAGGGAGTGCTATTTTACTACTTTTTTTTTACTACTCCATGGCTCGTGGTAAATACGCACCTGGCACCTACACGCTGGATACAACAGAAAGATCGAGCCAGACGCGCCTCAGCCTGGTCCTGGACGAGGTCGACAGGCGCGAGGTCGAGGTGACGACGGCGAACAGAGCGTGATCCGCGGACGCAAAGGGTGGCAGGCTTGGGAAGAGAAAATATAGCAGCACCGAAGCCAAGCTACAACCGGGCTATAGCCTATAGGCAGCGTTCCGTTTGGTGGCCAAGCCGTGCGCCAGCCTCTTTGAGCCCTTCCCACCACAGGAGGAGAACACTAACGGTGTGAAGGAGCCATGCTCGACTTCATTGACACGTTCACCGTAAGCACGCTTCTTCTCGCCTTCAAACCTTCAGTAGAGGGAGGGGAGGGACTTGGCACGATAGCTTGACGCGTGGGGATGAAACACCCTTGTATCGAAGAATACGTTGCGGCTATCGGCCCAGAATCCCTTCACTCGCAGGTCGGCATGGGCATCAGGATCAGTGCTGGCTGACCGATCGCGAAAAGTTTCGCCAGTTACCAGGGTAGGTTCTGCAACGGTGGCTCCACCTCCGCATCATGATAGAGCTCTTTCATGCACGACGCGAGGAAGTCGGTGGGATCGTTGTGTCACATGTGGATGAACCATATAATTATATGCACTGTATGTGAAGGGCAGGCTGGTCACCTAATTCTACATAATAATTACACCTGAAACCTGGCAGGTCCCTGACACCGAAATTTTAGTGCACCAATAGTCCTAAAATTACACGTCATGTTATAGTAGTAACTACTTACTTGTCTTGACTTGTGCTGGGATTACACCATTCAACAGCCCAAGGCTGACACACACACTTCCACATGCCCATCACAGAAGCAATGATAGCCAACAGCTATGTAACTTACTTGTTAGACATAGCAACTTGTGCTGGGATTACACCATTCCACAGCTTGCAAACTATGAAAAGCCGATGAATTGACCCCCACTACATTGTAGTTAGCCTGGTATCCACCACATGAACACAGCTGATTGAAGTGGCTTTTTCTGGCCAGTGAATCCCTAATTTTTTCATAGTGTGACACACACACACACACAGAATACAGTATAGTATCAAGAGTACATAACCCCCCCCCGGGTTATGTACTCTTGGTAGTATCCAAGCACAAACACAGCATGTCAGAGAGGTCAGAGATAGCACACGCTATAGTATAGAGGACGGTAAAAATATAAGACGATAAATATCAAACATCTGTTTTACTAGCGGACACAGGGCCCGGATGGAGAAGCGTCAAACTCAATCTATGTCCACATAATGTGATGCAACATGAGAGAAGAGACCAGTCAGCCAGCAGCACAGCAATCGCAACAACAACATAACTAGGTAGCGCGCACAGAGGGCAGAGGCCATAGCAAGAGAACACCAGAAAGCATGGCGCACCCCAGGAGGACGACAGTGGGTGAGGTGGCGACACCAGCACACCAGCACACTCGCACTCTCACACACACACAGGGATGACTAGACGGAAACGAGGTTAGAGCAGCAAGCGACAAGAAAGTAGCGACACGATGGAGAGCAGATAGAGAATACAAACACGAAATGGAAATTCATTACTAGGGCGTATCTAGATCAAGAATTCAAGGCAAAGCAGTTTGTTGGCAGAATCAGAACACAAAGTGATGAAGCAAGCAGACATTACTCCTACTAACAATGGTCAGGTCTAGCGGGGGGGAAAAAGCAGGTACGCATGCACTTGACGGGTCGGAGTTGATCATTGTCGCGAAGGTTGCTGGTGTCATGTGCAGCATAGGCACAAGTACTGTAATCACAGAGTCAAGTGATCGCTGTGATTGGTGAACGACACTGCAGCAAGCAGTAGCATACACACGACTTCCACTACCCCTGCTACTACTGTCAGCATGGAGCACACCAACACCAACAGCAGCAGCATCAGCGGACACAGGTACAGGTGTGGCACTACATGCCAGTAAGTGTACCATACGCCTGCAACAAGGCACAGCACTCAAGCATGCGAGCGTCAGTTACTGCTAGGGCCAGTGCCATTGCCAGCTGCTGCACCAGTAACACCAACGGCAGTACCAGTTGGCGCCCCAGCACCAGCAGCAGTAGTTACACCGACAGCAGCAGCACCACCACCTGCACCAGGCATGGATGCCTGAGCTTGCACAGCCAGACGCTGCAGCAGCACTTGCATCTTCTGGCTGCTGGCGTAGCGCAGCTTGTACTGAGCCTGCGGGGACTGTAGCTCAGTGCAGATCTTGCGACCCACCTCTTGGGTGCAGATGGCGAAGATGGTGTCGTCGACGAAATGCACCTGTGCGTTGCGTCGTCGCAGGTCGTTGAGAACATCGGCGTGCGGCTGCTGCTCGCAGACCTCATACACGACAATGTCCATCACTGCACAATCAGAAACCAAACACACACACACATGCGTGCATGCATTTAGAAGTAACTAAAACAACCAATATAATATACTGTATATTGAAGCAGAAAATTTCATCGGTCAATAATTTCGTCCAACTCCAAAGAAAGGGAGTTCGTCCGGTTGTAAATTTCGTCCATGGATCATAAGAGTGTATTGAAAAGCTGGACAAATCGATATTAGCCCGCCATTTAATTTAGTCCAAAAGCTCCTTGGACGAAAAAGACGAAATAAAATCCAGACGAATATTTCTGCTTGTACAGTAGTCTAAAATATGGGGATTTCTTACACCTAAAGTAACAAGTGTCGGGAAATCAAGAGGTACAAACAGCGCAACTCATAATCCGCTTATAAAAATAATCTCTTGATTTCACTATACTTGTTACTTAAATAGGTGTACGAAATAACCGTACTTCACATGCATTTGCATAACAAATGACGAGGCTAGTCAATGTACAGAGTATCATGCCGCCTTGCCGCAAGTGGTCAAGACAGTGGAATAAAAACTGAGAAACCTAAAAAAAGTTATCCTAAGGCTGGAGCAGTGCAGATATGGTACTTCCACCGATGTCTCAATTCTAATTGAGCAAGTCTCTCATGGGTAGGTTGTCAAGCTGCTCACCCGAAAGAACTGAAGAATTCTATAGCCATGACATGACGACTGTCATTCTCAAAGCAAAACCAACAATTAATCGGCCACTGCTAGAATGACAGTGCTTTATTCTGGCAGCAATAGCAAGCAAAGAAGGTCAGAAAGCAGGACAGGAGCAAATGCCACAAGCGGTAGTAGCCACATCATCAGTTTCACATCAAATTTAGGGGGGGGGGGGGGGTTCAAATGCGGCACACCCGGCAAAGTACCACAGACCTTTTGAAGTTCCCCGATACTTTGTAGTAGAGCCCGCATAACATCTGTAGACTTACTCGGTGTTCTGACAGGCTGATGATATTGTACAATGCCCGGGTAGCCGGGAACAGCTCCAGCCGCCAGGCCAACCATGGCGACAGCCTGCTGCTGCTGTTGCTGCTGCTGGAGGAAGGCTTGCTGCAGGGCATACGGAGGCGACGGCGTCAGGCCCATCATTCCGGGTGCCATGCCGTTAGAGAGCCCGGCGGCGTTGTTGACGGCAGCTGCGGCGGCCACGGCAGCAGCAGCAGCGGCGGCAGCATTGGACGTGGCTGCTGCGTCGGCCATGTAGTACTGGTTGCCAGTGAAGTCGCTAGCGCCAGCGCCACCCAGACCACCCTGATACTGCATGTACGTAGGTGTACCAGGCGTCACCATTGCTAGATTGCTGGCAGCGGCCCCAACCAGGGGGCCGCCAGCACTGGCGGCAGCATTAGCAAGGCTATTTCCACCTGGCTGGAAACGAGCTGCTGCTGTTGCCTGGCCAGCAGACGGCGTGGATGCGGATGAGGAAGCCTGTGACACTGCACGGTGGTAATCACCGGCGGTGCCGGCGTTGCTGCTGTTCGACATGTTGGAGCTGCCACCACCAGCACTGTTATTAGAGCGGTTCTGGCCTCGACGATTGCTCTTTCCGCCGCCGCGTTGATAATGATCTGAAACACAAGAGAAATGACAGCAAGATTGAACACACATGCACATAGCGCACAAACTGCATGAGAAATAAACCCTAGAAACACACACACACCATGTACACTCGTTGCAAGAGAAGAATGCAAACCTGTAAGTGCACTACTGGCTGTACACGCAACACATACACCCACACACTTTAACAGGCAAACGGGTGTCTCTCTCTCTCTCTTACCTTTTCCGCCAGTGTTTGAATGAGAAGTGGCGTTGAGACCAGCACGGCCACTGTTGTGAGACGGTGTGGGTGAAGCCATGCCAACAGGAGTAGCATAGCCGCCGTTGCCCATTGCACCCGGGTTAGCGTAAGTAGCCGCCGCCACCCCACTATGGCCACTTGCCATGGAGGGCACAAATTGCTGAGGGGCACTGTAGCTAGACGTGAGACCCGCGTGGCCGGGAAGCGGCATCAGTCCGCGTGGACCACCGACAGCAGCGTTGTTGCTGCTACTGCCGGCCTGCCAGCGTTGCTGCTGATGGCCTTGATGAGGCAACGAGAGTAAGCTGTGCGGTTTGCCGGATGCGTTGGCGGAAGCAGCAAGGCCACCACCGCCACGTGAGGACATTTGGCCTTGGTGACGAACAGCTCCGCCGCAACGCTCCGAGATGGCGTGCTTGTCAAAGCGATGCCGCACGTACTCCAGAGAAGAACCGTCGCTGAGTGACGGTCGGACCAAGTTGGTGGGCGTGACTGATGAGGCAGCAATGCCATTGTCGGCAGTCTGCAATACACCAGGACCAGCAGCTTTCCAAACATTGTCACCCTGAAAAGGCACAGAAACAGAGAAAGAAGAGCAACACCGGGATCAGTACAAGTCAATAACTATTACTGTAAACCGCCCAATATTCGCGTCACTAAATTTTCGCGATTTCTTAGAACCAGCAAATTTGCGATGGCAAAAGTTCGCGAAGCACCGGGGCCACCTACATACACCCACTGTTGAAGCTTGATTTCACGCTGACTAATATTCGCGATAAGCTCTTCTCGCGAACATTAATCCGTCGTGAATATTAGGCAGTTTACAGTACAAGCCAGCCGGAACCGGCCCGCTTGGTCAGGTCTTCACAGCCGGATCAACGTTTTGGCCCCCATCACATGTTTACTGCTGTGCAGGGCATGTGCTTCATAATAAACCCCAAGCCTGTGTGCACACCAGGCAAGAGCATGCTTGGAGCTTACGGCTGTTTGTTTTTGTTGCCAAAAATGCACAATGTACCTCCCACGGCACAGCACAATTCTAGTGGAACAAACACACCGTGGAGTCTTAACTAGCGGAACAAACACGCCGTGGAGTCTTAACTAGTGGAACAAACATGCCGTGGAGTCTTAAGACTCTTTACACAACACAACAGAGGACCAAGGTAGGTTTTCTGCAACGCTGCTGTTCATGCGCACAGCGCAATCATCAGACAATATGGCGGACAGTGTTGAGCATGCTGGAGAGCATTACATGAAGAGCTGGAATGTAGAACCCGCTAAATCCAGTCCTTCACATTTCGGAGCATGGCCAAAAACGGATTCATTATATGTGCGGTTTGTATCTAAACCTACATTCGGGTTCCAGTTTCGAAATGATTCTAGTCAGATTTTGAAAGTGAAATTTCCCCTGCTTGTCCTTTTGATTACAACGAGCTGAAAAATGCTTTTCTCGATTTGGCGCTTAGTGGGTTTCGTCTGCTTTTATTTTATTTCACCCGATACACAGACATTTCTGCCTTCTCATCTAACCATACAGCTAGACTGTCAACAAAAGATGAATGGAATGAAGACAGTCTTTGAGGTTCAACAATAACGTCTAGGAGCTACCGCATTGCAAAAGCAAAGAATCCAACTACAGTCGAGGTCCTAGTTGGCTGCTGGAAAACTTAGTGCTTATAGAGATCGATGCAGCACAAGCATATGTCTGGATGGAGTGAGACTTTACAACATAGAGGAAAGCTTACCCCAGGGAGACCAGAAATGGCGACTGATGAAGCTACGGGCAGAGCTTCACCGAGCCCTTGCGAACGCATTCCAGGTGCTTTTCCGGAGTTGGCCGATCCACTAGCAACGGCGCCGAGGACACCAGCCAGCGACGTGTCGGAGGAGGTAAGCGGCAGAGAGCGGTCATAATCCATGTCAACCAGAGCATCCACAACTTGATCGGAATTGTTGCGAGGCGCCGACGTTGGCACGGAGGCGCGCACCACTGTGTTCGGAGCGCGTGCTGCGAAATTAGCGGACGACGTAGCGCGACACCCTGATGAAGTGGTCACGGCCGTGCTGCCAGTTGACGACTCCCCGGCAGTGGATATCGCAGGGTGCTGGCTGAAGATACGCTTGCGATGCTCCTCGTACTCGGCCTCGCGCTCTTCGATTGTTTTCGGCCTGCGCTCATCACCGTTCTGGTTCGACTGGTTAGCAGTAGGCGAGGAAGAGCCGCTGCCGGCACCAACGGATGCATTGGGCGCGTCCTGCCGTTTGAGAATAACACGAGGCGAAATGCCGACAGTTGGCGCCGCACTGGCCGTGCTGTCGTCACCCTCACCACTGCCACTCTTCATCTGAATAAGCTCCTTGAAGCGTTCGGCTGGCAGTCTTGTTTTGGCGGTCTTCTGGAGGATGACGCCCGGCTCCGAATGGTTGGTGAGGTGATCCATGCCGAAGAAGGCAGCAACGCGGTGCACCAGCATGCGATGGTATGACGTGGCCGTGGAGATCTTGAGCGGTGCCATGTGTTGCTTCGATGTCAGGTGCCCAAGGATGGACTGTTCTGTTTGCAACAGAAACAAACGATCCCTGTAAACAAAGGTAAAAAAACACACACACACACCAACCTGAATCAGACGGCAAGCCATGAGAGATGGAAGTCTCAGCATCCAACCCAGTCACAACGACTGTAACAGTTGTCACAGTTCTAATTGAGCAAGTCTCTCATGGGTAGGTTGTCAAGCTGCTCACCCGAAACAACTGAAGAATTCTATAGCCATGACATGACGACTGTCATTCTCAAAGCAAAGCCAACAATTAGTCGGCCAATGCTAGAATGACAGTGCTTTATGCTGGCAGCAATAGCACCAGCACCATCTCTTATTGGCGATGGTGCCATTGTAAGAATAAAGAATTCAAAAAACCACACCGGGAGCGGAAGCAACACAACGGTCACCACCATGAGCAACAGCAGCACAAATTACGACCAGGAGCAACGGCAAAACAGGATTACATTAGCAGCGGCAGTAGCACTAGTGCGGACACAAGTGCATCAGGAGCACAATCCCAATACCAATATCGTAGAATGCCACAGACCAACCCGTACGCATACTTCATTCCACAGTGATATTCAATGGGCTCACTCGTGTACGTGGGCACGGGCTTATACGGGGTCGAAGTACGCATCAACAAAACATAGCAAGGACTGCTACTACCCGACGCGTAATAATCTTTTTATTGGCGTAATTCTGCCATCATCACCGCAATGATCGCAGAAGCACCGAAATGATCTCGATAATGATCCAAGTGTCCACATCAGTGGACAAGTGTTATATACATACTTTGCCTGGTTGAGCGTATCAATGAGAAACTGGCGCAGATCTAAAGATGGGTTGGCGGCATCCGTCATCGGAAGTGGTGGTAAAACCGACACCGACGCTGCATGCCAGAAGACAGGGGAAACACACACGGAAACACACACACACATACACAAGCAGCAACAACGACGACAACAACAGCAGCAGCAGAAGCCATAACACCCGACAACACCATCATCAACACAAGCAGTGTGATTGCAAAACAAAAGTGGACCCAGAGACTTGTCATCGTGGATCGTTCACTGCGCTTCGTGGATGGAAGCTGACATGTCACATTCACTCCAAAGCACAAGTCAGTGAAACTGAGAGGTGGAAATAGAGCGGTCGCCACCTTCTCACTAAGATCAGCATTCCTTTGCATCCTCTGTTTGTACTGGTATCTCCAGCATTTGGATGGTTGATGGCGTCAAGATAAAGTGTCCGCTCGAAATTGACTGTAACAAGAATAATTTCGTAAAAAAATGTCATCCAAATTGCAGGGTGAAACCTGTAAAATCCACCTGCCAGACACGGTTCTTCTGATCAGTGGCAGGCAATTACCATTTGACTCGGAGTAAATCATAATAGTAATCTCACAGCTAAAAAGCATTCTAATCCAAATACAACACAGACAGTGAACTCGAGCTCGAGAGCGTTTCTACATTCCGACAATGTTCCAATAAGGCGCTGTCTCCTCTACACTACAGCACTGTCGGGCGCCGAAGAACTGGTAGGTCAGCCTCATAGCCTAGACCGTTCTTATTTTCGTGTACTAAAGTCAATGCACAGTTGAGTTACCGTGTATACATTAGTATGCTGTGCCTGGTGAAATTCTAGGCTGTTCGCTCTTCGGCGGCCGACAGTACCGTACACGTTGAAGATCACATACACGTTGGTCTTAGCCATTACCCATCACGTTCATGAATATATGCTGCAAAGCACCATTCGTTTACTCTTGTTCGTCATGGCGGGGACAAACTACTGTATAAGCTGAAATATTCGTCTGGAATTTAATTTCGTCTTTTTCGTCCAAGGAACTTTTGGACTAAATTAAATGCCGGATTAATGTCGATTTGTCCAGCTTTTCAATACACTCTTGTGATCCATAGACGAAATTTTCAACCGGACGAACTCCCTTTCTTTGGAGTTGGACGAAATTATTGACCGACGAAATGTTCTGCCTGTACAGTACCACAAAATACAGTCGTATACAAGTAGTGCAGGCACTGCATGATTCAACAGCTTGCAATCCTGACGAATCGAGCACTATTCGAGAACAATAAGGCATGTACACACATAATTATTACCATTGCCAGTTGGCGACGACTGCTTAATCTTTGCACTATCATCCAGCGATGAGCGAGGGGAGGACATTGCTGCTGCTGGCTGTGCACCGACAGCCTCCGGGGTTGGTCTTGGCCCATCGCTGATGCTCGTGTTGCCGGAGGGGCTGACCTGACCAGTTGAGTCCTCTCTCCTCAGTACTCTCACCTTCGACATACTCATGGCGGGCTGCACAAACAAAACGGGGGATGAAGCAGCACCCATTAGCTGACCTTGCCACCCAACGATAATAGTCCGGTGCACAGTGCTGCTCAATGAAATCCGATCATGTGAATTAATTACGCTGCAGGTGCTGTGCAGCCTTAAGCTGTGTTCCCAACTGGCGCGTGAACGCGGTACGCTTGCGGTTCATGTGTGCCAAATGCGCGCTCAGGCTTCCACAAAAAGCAGCAATTTGACTCGAATTTAGGGCGTGCGACGCCTTCGAGTACTAATTGTTTGACCGGCATGTACGCTGATACGCGCCAGATACGCGGTGACAATTCTTGGAATTTCCTTTTCGGCGCGTTTCCGTACATATGGCGTCCCAAAAGCCTGCAAAAATACGCACGAACGCGTGGTTTCATGCGTACACGCGCCATTTGTGAACACAGCTTTAGATCTGAGAGGACTGGGATGCAAACTGGTGCAGGGCGCTAACTTGACTGACGCAATCGTATTTCATCAAGCACCACTGTACATGTACTGCGAAGACAGTCGAGACACCCATAGTTCTCACCCTAGCTACGCGTCCATACTAACCAAGACAGTTGGGATTGGTCTTACTCTCTCAAAATTTGGTTATTTCTACAACGTACTTGTTATTACCCCCCCCCCCCCTTGCACAAATATATAGAGTGCAACTAAGTCTAGAGAGGGCAAATAATTCAAATCAATGACCAGTTTAAATTCGATTCGAGAACTTTCCTTCCCAAAACGCTTTCCGTGCTATATTAGCACCAGGATCTAGGAGTGTCGATACACGTCTGTACAATACTAGATAGACCCAGCAACAGGAAAATTTCCAAAAGCAACGGGATGATGGAAATGGCCATGTCGGACAAAAGTAAAACATTAAACAAGCGTCGCCGTACCTTGGAGCTGACTGCAGGCGTACAATTATTCTCCAGTTGGGATGATGGAGTCGAAGGGCATTTCTCCACACTCTGGCACACTGGGTCGTGGGGCGAAGCAGGAGTTACTCTACTGCCCGACGTCATGATGACCGGCGAGGTGGAGGATGACTGCTGAACAGGAGCCAATGGAGCTTTTATCATATTCAGCACCAGCGGAGTAAACATCCAAGTGACGAGAAGCAAAACACGCTCCCCAGAAGCAAGTCTCTGCTCCTAGGATGATTCCTAGCTTTACGCGTACAGGTGTTGTACGTAAGGAAAGACTCCAAGACGTCAGAAAGGAAGCTGGAACCTTGATAGACCCGTATCCGAGTGGATCGCACAGCCTCAACCACAGCGCAGCAACAATGAACAAATTCGAGCGACTTTGAATCCAAGAGCTGCTGTCCAGACTTCAGTGTTTTTTGTTCACCTATTGACGACGGGAAAATAGAAGTGCTACAACATACTATCAGCCTTGGATTCCAACAAAGAATACGCTAAAAGCCAATACAATGTTCAGAAGGAGAAAGAAGAAACTCAGAAATGGCTGGTGGAAGGTAGATCAAAGAAAGAGATTTGTCCCCCACACAGCCGACTCTTCGAACAACCAACTTTGGTCGCCATTTTGGAAAAATCATGAGGATTTCTCGTCGCATTCGACCAATCCAAGAGGATTTGTGTGAGAGTAGCGTATTTTTCGAAGTTTCTAAAACCGTCCACAAAATTGCATGCAGTTCACTGTGAAGTAACTCGTATTGAACATCAAAGTTTCTCCCCTGAAACTGCAGAAACCCTGTAAATCCGCAAAGCACGTGGGGCACGTTTGGACTGCGTGCAGGCCGTGCGCCCGGCCGCGCAAAGCTGCGCTAGCGCGCAACGTAGATCTACGTAGCCTCTACTAGCTACAAGTACAACAGTACGAGGTGATTCGTCATTATTTAACACGAAAGTAAAATAGCCTTCCGTAGGGTTCGAGGTGCGAATCTTTCCATTTTGTCCTCTAAAAATGTAATTCTGATGTCCTTGGATTGCAATGTTGGGATTCCCATTCACATAATCCTTGGTGTTGGGAAGCAGGTGGCAGTTGAAAAATGGCAATTTTTCCGCATATTATTTGTTGTGGTCATTTCTTAACATCATGGTAAAATAGGCCTTAGCAGCACAATTTCAAGTCAGTTTTCAATAGAAGGAGACCCTACGTCTCCAGGATGGTCCAGCAAGACTGGATCAAGATCATGTTCATACAAATACAAGCCATTCAAGCTTACATAGCAACAGGTGTATCACCCTGATTTCATGTGTAATTGTGATCAACATCTGTTAGCAAATTCAGTGATTGCCAATGTTTGGCCATTACTAGGGCCAACACACCAACATTCCTCCTTCCCAGGCGTCGTTTCCAGTATGTAGCTATCATATGCTTCCTATTCAGCTAAATATGTTGTCACTCGAGGTTGAAACCAGCGGCTATGACTCTCTTATACTCTATTTTACCGTAAACATCGCGCACATGCAGACTGAAAGCTCTTGCAATGTCACTTCCTGAAGGAATATCAGTCTCAATTTTGGAGGCGAACTTGACAGAACATTGGCAATGGCAATGGCAAAAAGAAATTTGACGTGACTTTTTGCAGGTGCTTGCAATGAGATATTTTACCGATTTGTTAAGAAATGACTCAATGTTAAAAATTTACGAATCACCTCGTACAAGATCTAGCCCAGCCTAGCCTCCAGCCTAGCCCGCGGCCGCGGGCTCGCTGACCGGTAGGTAGCTAGCTGGCTGATCGCCGTGATCGGGCGCAGGAACCCGGTAGTCGTCGTTGTCTGCGCGGACGCGATATGCACATATGTACATAGATTCAGCCAGTGCGGGCGCGCGCACTTGTAAAGTAGTTACCGTATTTCCGCAAATAAAAGGCCGTCCTATACAACGCCTTCCTCGTATACAAGGCCGCGGGGCAGGGGGCGAATAGAGAGGTTAAGTTACACGTTTTTTGCCCTTTTTCAAAACGCGGTGCAAATCTCACGTTACGTGTAATTTTTAGAGGTTAAGTTACACGTGTGACGTGAAGTGAAATTTTGCCTGGCAGGATTCGGGTTAGTTCGCACAAATATCAAATCTTCCAACAAACTCGATAAATCTCGATAAAATTCCGGAAACTCACACAAATTCGGTCGGGATAACCAAGCGAAACTTCCAAAAACTCACGTCATGAACTTACGTGCGGGACAGAACTCACGTAAAACACGTCAAATTTTACGTGAGTTTTTTCACTTTTTGACGTAAAAGTTCACGGACGTAAGACTTTTACGTGAAACTTAACCTCTCTATTGAAAAAATAAAAGACCGTCTCCGATTAGAAGACCGGGCCTACTAAGGCTGTGTTTAGGCCGAGTAAAAAAAATTACTAGATGATCGTCCTTTTTTTTGGAAAAATCGGGGAGGGCGGCCCGGGAGGATTTTATTTTTATTTTTTTACTTTTTACCCTCTCATGCACACAGTGTACACAACAACATCAAGGTTTTTTTTCTCTTTTTTTCTTTTTTTTCTTTTTTTCTTTTTCTTTCTTCAGCAGATCGATACTGACGTTGTGATATACTAGTAGTATGTGGTCCATATAGTAAAACTCACGATTTAAAAAATAAAATATTTCTTGGGGCGCTGACAAAAACTGGGGCGGACGGGGACGATCATCTAGCTTTTTTTTTTACTTGGCCTTACATGAAGCGTTTCAACCCGGGTTGAGTTCGACCCGGGTCAGATTTCAACCCGCCATGTGCACAAAGTGAATGGCGCGTTTACATGACGCATTGCGCTTGACCCGGGTTGAAATTTCGCCCCGGGTTGATTTCAACCCTCCCCCCAAGGGGAGGGTTGAAATCAACCCGGGTCAAGAAAATCGTACAAACGTACTTCTGTGCGTATCTCGCGCCAGGTTTGAACAGCACTGCAGATGCAAATTTCGCGCGAACGGATTCACGTGACCATACAGGACTGTAGAAGTGGACTTTTGGCGGCATATCAGTATTTGACCCGGGTCAACTGTCTTCATGTAAACGCTCACCTCTTTTGTCTGTCGTACAGACTTTCAACCCGGGCTGAACTCGACCCGGGTTGAAATTTCTCATGTAAACACAGCCTTAGGCTGCGTTTACACGACAACGCTGGGGGCGAAAACGCAACGAAATCCTTTCGGATCCATGGTTCATTTACACGGTACGCGGAGCAAAACGTAAAAGTTGTACACCAAAACGGAAGAAAACCAAAACGCTGGCCAAGGTGGAAGAATTTGAAAACGGAAATGTTCTGCCGGATAAATTTGGGTGTGTAAACAGTCGAAACCAGGGAGTCGTAAAAGCCCGGGAGATGACACGGGATGCGCGCACGCGGACGATGTTTGCCTCGGCCAGAAAGTGAAGCACGCTAGGCCGGCGCGGCCGGATCTGCTCGATCCACGGCGCTGTGCTCCTCTTCAGGGCAGGGAGTCCTAAAATACCAATATTTTACAACTCGTTGTTGACACCATTATCCGAAACTGGTGGCGAAGGAAGGATAAACATGATTGTATGTCTGTCAGACTCAGTACACATGCATGTGACATGGTGATCCATACACATTTTGAAGTTTGGCACATTTTCCAAAAAAATGTGCTCTGTTTCTG